CCCCCACCTCCCCGGCTTTCCCCTCCTATCCTCCAAACTCCGCTTTCCCAACAATGCCCCCGTGGAAGCTTAAGTACTGTGGAAGCGAGCCACCCCCACCACCACAATATCCTTTTGTCATTTCTGTAATTCCAGAGATTTCCTTGATCTGATAGAGATCATCATTGCAGAGCCGATTATAGACATAATGGACGCCTAGTAAAGGCCGGGCATACACGTCCAATGTCACGTTCTCCTCTGAATAATTCAGGTTCTCGGGATCTACTACTCCAAGCTCAATGTTTACTGTTGTTTTCTATTTAGCAGTAGAAAACGTTTTACGGCGCTTGCAACACAGTCAGGTCATCTTAATGGCGATGATTAGGGGTGCTACTAAGAAGAAAAGTAAAAAGAAGAAGAAGGAGAAGAGATCACTTCGATATATATTTTTCTAAAAAAAGAAAACGTAAAACATTTCCAGAGTGCACACCGACTGATTATTATGTCCCCTGAATATTATAGGAAGAACGTGGCCAAACGTCAGGCAGTTTGTTGGGTGTTTTTATTTATTTATTTTGTTTGTCGGGGTTTTTTTGTGATTTTTTTTTAAACATTAAAAGGCGTCTTTATAATTCTTTCTAAACTCCAAATCTGATCACTGTTGCGCAATATGCTCTATATTAAATTTGGTTTAGTACTCAGACTTTAGCCATAACGTATGTTTAAAAGATAGGGCATTGAAATAACCAATGCAGTTTCAGTATAACAGTGGATGAATATTCTGCAATGAGGATGTAGATTTTAATTTTTTAATATCTTAATCTGGGGTATAGGATTGATATTTATTTATTTGCAAGCACTGTCTGTAGTCTCTCACGTTCACTTCCTCTGTCTATTATCTTATAATTTCATTTAATAAGCATTTAGGTCAATTGCCATGCGTTAATCTTTATACTGACTGACACGGTTTTTTAAAGATCACATTAGACAGACTAAAAGTAACAAGTAAAAAAAAAAATAATGTAACGAAACCAAGTCAGAGTAGGTTCTGAATATTCATATTTTGCCCCCAAACAGTCGTATCTTTCAGCCTCAGAATTCGGACGTCCCGCCTCTTGAAAGACCTCACTCATGACGTTAAAACCGTAACGAACAATCGAAATAAGAGATACTGTTTAATGCAAGAAGGCACAAGTTTCAAAGCTAGTACAGCACTCAATAACGGAACGTTACCTGAACTCTTGAACGAACGAGAAAAACATGTGACAGCATATACACAAAGAGCCACTGTCAACCCTTGCTATCAACTTGGCATTCTTTTGTGCGTGCTAAGTTGAATAATTAAAAAAAAGAAAGCCCCAAGACCCATTCCTATGCCAGGGAAGCTAGAGATAAAGCTCGCTCTCTACTACCAGGTTTTCGCCCAAGGTACTTTTATTCGTCATCAAACAGTTTTTGGATTAGGGTACTAAAACCACATTAGCTAAGAATAGCTGCATTTAAAGGAAAGTAGCGGAACACGTTGACATGTCTGGAAAGGCAGCGAAAAGTTTTCAAAAGGGAAATCTGTCATTTTTCAATGAGATATAGATAAAGCAAACACTATGTGTCAAATCACGGCAATTGATGTTCTTTCGAAGGCTTCTGATGTCACTCGTAAACCATTTCGCAGACACTCAAATCCTTTGTACCCAGCTCAGGACCCTGTTGATCTTTAAATCTCGATAAGTGGGGCTTCCAACGCTCTTCTGAAATTCACGTCAAGGTGCAAATAGTTTACGTGTTAATTTAAATGTGAATTGTGTCACGGCACGGTGGAATCAGGCTCTCGTCAGTTTTGGGGCATACGGAGTTATTGGTAGAATCTTATGGGCTTTTCATTTATCTTGCTTTTGATGACAAAAGTACGCATCTATATTGATTATAAATTGAGATATTTGCGATTGAAAGAGGCTGGGGTCCCCTGATTTCAGGAGAAAAATTCACAAGAAAATGGCCGCCAAAGTTCGATGACTTGTAAAGCTGTAGTGCTCTTGGAAACTGCAATTTTCCATGTTTGTACCTTTGTCCTAAGTATTTTAAGAGTAAAATCAAAACATAAATGTCTTTTAAAACAGACAGGAATACAAGTTGTTGGGTGAAAAATAAAATAGTAAATCGATAAAAAAAATTGCCGACCGGTAGGAAAAATGTCGGTTTCTTAAATGTCAACATTTTGACGAGCAACTTGTTACACAACGATGCTAAAATATTGGTATATAAATAAGTTCAGTATGAGAAAAGTTACGTGCAGTTTGACTCTTTAAATGTTGCGATCTCTGAGATTTTGTAGCATAGAACCCTAACCAGAGCAAGCCTGATCCTCCCCCCCCCCCTTTTTCTGTCTGTCAACTATTCCATTGCTATGTTTGATACAGCTACATTCTAGGGCGAGCCAACAACATACCCGA